CTCCCTCTTACTGCTGTCCTTCAGCCACATCCCCGATCTTCTGGTAGGAGAGATATGCACCTAGCCTTCTCGGACAAAGGTGGAAAATCTCGGAGGGCAAGTGTGCCAAGTTGCGCACGTCAAAGATCCCTTGGTGGTCTAAAATCGATAACAGTAGGCTTCGGCCGCCACCCTGGCAAATTCAAAATGTCCTTCCAACTGAAAGTATTAGGTGTCTACCGCATGCTCAAATGACCTTATGCAGTTGCGAGCGTCGTAAAACCCTATACAAAAAAAAGCAATTGCGCTTTCAAAATCAAGCTATGAGAACCATGTCTAAAGAGAGGAGAAACGACAATATCATCCAAACTTTAAGAAAATTTCATTTTTCCCTAACAACAACGAAAAAATTACTTGAAAGATTGCTGTCCTTTGTAATTTTTGTGTTAACAATGAACCATCCTCGTATTTAAGCATCCTCTCTCAGTTGTATGTTCCACCAAGATTTCTAAGACCGGGATATCAGTTTCATATGAGCGGCGAGAGGTTCTTTTCTCATCCAGCTCCATCTATCTGCAACTCTCTCCCACATTGGAATAAAGTCGGACGCAAAAATTAAAAATTCATTTAAAAGTATTGCTTTTGAAATGGCATCTTGATAGTTAGTCCTTCTTATTTATAGCTCTATTAATGTCCTTCATGGGATGTTCTTATGTTATCGTCGTCGATTATGCCTTGACCCTGTTAGTCTGAATATCTGCTTTTATATTAGTGTCAATCTAAATAGCGAAGGTCTATGAAAACGTTTTCATTTGCTTGTATCTTGTGATAAAATAAAGGTGTTGTAAAGAGCCTGGAGCTATTTTGTACAACAGGGGGCGGTGCAACAGAAGGGATATTATTATTATTATTATTATTATTATTATTATTATTATTATTATTATTATTATTATTATTATTATTATTATTGTTGTTGTTACTCTTATCGTTACCGTTGTTATTTTTATTGTTATTGTTGCTATTGTTGTTGTTATTATTTTTATTGTTATTATTATTGTTTTATTAAAACATGTATTATTACATTATTATTGTTGTTATAATTATTATTATCATTATTATTATTATCATTGTCACTTGCTTTGCTTTTATAGATTTGGCCCCCGGTAACCTTCACTGACGTTCTATTTTTTGTTTCAATAATGCCTTAAACTGAGCTTTAAATATTGGAACTGAAATAGGTATCCTTACTGATAACAACATTTGCAATGTCATAGCACGTTAGTCCTTGAAACCTTGGCCGAGGTCTTCCTATCGGTGAACGTGCAATCTAAATAGTACGCCAAAGGAAAATCCCGTGGTAATTCGCTTGAAATATCGACTTCGGCATCAGAATGAAAGGAGAAGTACAGACAGACAGACGGACCGATTGCTATAGGCACAGTCTGAGAGAGCGAGAGAGCGAAAGAGCGAAAGAGCGAAAGAGCGAGACACAGGGACAAGGGAGAGAAAGAAAAAGGGAAAAAGAGAGAAAGAGAGAGATAGAGAGAGAGAGAGAGAGAGAGAGAGAGAGAGAGCGGGAGAGGGGGGTAGAGGAGATGGTGGGGGAGGGGATGGTGAGAGAGAGAGAAACAGACAGACAGACGGACAGACAGAATGAGTTGGAAAGAGACAGAACTGGAGAGAGGACGACAGAGGATAAATTATACTGGAGAGGGAGACGGACATATATACAGCCGAAGACGCACAGCAAGTATCTGTTTTAGGGGGAAGGGTGTTGTGGCTTTTTTCCCCCTTTCTTTTTAAAAAATGGTTTATTGCGCTCGCAACTTCCTAAGGTCATATGAGTGTGGGAGACATTAAAGCATTTTCAATTTGGTAGGAATCAGTTTTGAATTTTGCGAGGGTGGTGGCTGAAGCCTGCTGTTATCCTTTTTTTTTTTATCCCTTGCCCATTTGTATAAGATTGACGCCATTTGATTAGTAGAAAAAAAGTGCGTACGATAGTGTCCAATAGTGTATTACGTGCACACTTAGTAAAACAAGTAACTGTAACAGCAGATACAGATTCCAGGATTATAGATGTAAGTCATTGATCTGAGAGCGGTGATGATACTAGAAAAGATGGTAGTGATGAGTGATGATGTGGGATTGCGTTTAAGTAATGTTAGAGTTAGTCCTATCTTCCTCTGCTCCAATGAATCACGAGGGACGTGGGCACCCTCTATCCCGTTCCCTACTGGAACCATCTTTGCGGTCACCATGAAGTTCCGAAATGGTGAGCACAGTCTCTGATAAGGTGACATAGTTGGTGTTAGCCTATTCTCTCAGGCCAAGACAAGGAGCAAAGTGGGAAGACAATATAGTGGCAGGTATGTTGGGGTATTTGTAAGCGGGTTGTAAGTAGCAAGTTGGCAAACAGATAATGATGTCTGAAAAAGCAGCATTCCACTCCCTGATCATTTGCCCCGCGTATTCTTTTCGAGTCCTATTAAGCTTTCGGAGATTCTGACACAGGATCCTCGAACCTGAGTCGAGAGGGCACAATTTACTAGCCTGTTCTTATCGATTTTAGGACCCTAAAGGGATCTTTAACTTGCGCAACTTTCACAGGGACCTCCGAGATTTTTTCCCAGACTGCTATACGCGTTAGATCAGGAGTGTGGTTGAAAGACAGAATTAAGAAGGAGCCAAGGAGTAACAGCAGAAAAGCTGCAGAAAGAGTCTGGAGCCCAGAGAAGGAGACAAAGGGGGCGGGGGGGGGGGGGCAGAAAGTGGAGACGAAAGCAGACGACATAACATGGTTAGAGATCGGCAAAGGAGGTGCAAGAGGACAATTTTCTTCTCTAAAAGTTCCTCCTTGCTGTTAGAAAATTTCAGAGAAGAAAATTTTACGTCGCAGTCAGATTTCGAACCTGGGACTAATTGAGCAAGAGGTGAATACCGTAGCTCAAGACCACGACAGCCCCCACAGTCAGTTTAGTTGGGGGGGTTTTCTCGAGGACGATCGTAAGTTAAAATCAACAGGAACAAAGGCGAAGTTTAACTATATTGTTATGGTGTTGGTTTAACACCTCATATTGACACTGTTATTGTTTTTGTTTTGTTTTTCAGATTTTAGGTTCATCTCTGATAAGATTTTAGCCAAAGTGAAAGCCCATCCCATCTAAGCACACAAAACAACCTTAGTTCACCAACGAATTCGAACTAGGGTCATCAGAAATGTATTTCGACAATGTACAATCGGAACTATGGACAGGTTTAAAATTTATTCTTGCAACTCATTTTGGATGTTGAAGGAAGTTAGAGAAATAGAGTAATGCCATAAGCTGATGGTGAATTGATGCACAATGAAACTGTATGTCGACAGGAACATAGAGCTAACATTGCAAAACAGTCGAGACCACTCTAACGGCCACCTGCATAAGATAACCACCTGTACAAATGGCCATCTTTCTTTTTCCCTCTGCGTTTTTAGAAACAGTTTAATAAGACTGAGTAAGACATTCACGTGTCAAGACGGGTACATAAATCTTCAACAATTGGTGGCTGTTGTTGACAACCACGACGGTATTAGGATAGTGAATAACAGCTTTAGGTCTCCAAGATAGTTTTGTTACACCAATGGTGTGTTCCAGCATTCTCAACTTTTTAAATGGTTCGTTGTCCCGGATTTCGTTCTTTCTCTTTTACGAAAAAAATATTTTGGTTTAAATTTTCTCGGTATACATAATTGAAATGTTTCTGTTCTAAACCACTTTCATTTTCTCTTTAATTAACAATCTATGTAGTGATGAAGAGAAACAGAAGGATCTAATCATTCAGAGCGCCTGCCAGCCAACCATGACTAGCAAAGTACTCACTTGACCCATCCAGCTCATGGCCTATGAAGGTAATTCCCATGGGTAATAGTCGGGTTTCTTTGATTGAGTTAGCCTATGAGATGAGACTTAATGAATTAATCGTCTATGCATGAACCCAATTGCAATACAAAGAAGTTACTTGAAGGGGGTTGTGGGGAGTAGCAAGAAGCATCAAAACTGTTTTCTATGATTAAAAAGAGACTTACAAACAGTAATGACATTAAAAAAGAACGAAAAAAAACAATCAAACAAATAAACAGTCTAGATGCCTCTCATCCCGAGTTAAGCCTGACAGGCAAGTTCAAAGCCCATCTCATAAATTATCTAAAATGCGTCAATGTGGGCGTGGAGACATTTACATTCAAATTCTTTTTACAAGGCTGTTAATGTCTGTTCCTGAAATGAATAATATTTCAATAGGCATAAACTGCTTACACTTAAAACGTGTCCCTGAATTAGGCAAACTGAGGGATTTCTATAGGAACTTCTGTTTGCCCCTTTGTTTCGTCCCCCCCCCCCCCCCATCCCTTTAATCCATTCTAAACTCTTCTCTATCTTACTCTCTCTCTCTCTTTCTCTCTATCTATCTCTCTCTCTATCTATCTATCTATCTATCTATCTATCTATCTATCTATCTATCTATCTATCTATCTATCTATCTATCTGTCTATCTATCTATCTATCTATCTATCTATCTATCTATCTATCTATCGATCTATTTATCCCTCTGTCGCTCACACACAAATATACAAACACATACTCACACACACACACACACACACACACACACACACACACACACACGCACACACACACATACACACACACACTCACACACACACAAACACCATTTCGCTCTCTCACAGTCAACCTCAGTATCTGGCTTCATGTATGTGCACCCGCACATGTACGTAACTGTGCTGGTACATCGGTGACATGAAATGGCTTAACTGTACATGTTTGTAAAGCGCAATACTTGGTTGGATAAGCTACTTACATCTTAGAAACGTATGCGCGCTAGACTGTTGGTATACGAGACGTCCAGAAAGTAAGTACCTTTTTAAAATAGTTATAAAATAAATAATTTTCCCAATCAAAATGGTTTATTTTTGAATACCTCATAATTTTTTTTATTTTTTTAAAATAATAATATATGACTAC